TGTTCAATTGAACAATCAATCGATCAATTGAACGTTTGAATTTTGACACATATCTCCTCCCATAGCATACGACCAAGTCATTTCATCATGCTAGTAATTATTGCGCTGCATGCATTAGATAATATCAGGGGTTAATAATCACAAATCGTGTCAAATAATGACAAAATTTGCCATTATTAACCCCTGATAATATATACTACATATATATAGCACGTGTTATATATGTGACACAATATATAGGGCAGAGGCATATAGGATGCACACAGTCAGCGAGCTATAGTGAATGATTTAGGAATGTGACTCCTTGACCTCCATATAACACATTTAGACTTAGATCCCTCTACAGTAATCACAGTTGTTCTTTTTTTATCTTTCTACAGGCCAAGTACAGGTTTCAATCCGTCTACACTGTGAGTACAGGTTTATATCTTTCTACGGCGTAAGTAAAGGTTTAAATTCGTTTGTAGTGTGAGTACATAGATCTCTATATCGTTCTGCTGTGCAAGTACAGATTTAAATCTTCCTACAGCGTGAGCACAGGTTTATATATTTCTACAGTGTGAGTACAGGTTTATATCTTTCTACAGCGTGAGTACAGGTTTAAATCTTCCTACAGCGTGAGTACAGATTTAAATCCTTCTACAGTATGAGTACAGATTTAAATTCTTCTACAGTGTGAGTATAGTATACAGGTTTCTATATTTCTACAATGCGAACACAGATTTACATCCTTCTACAGTAAGTACACGTTATTCCACAGTCATGTAGCACTGTAGCTAAGAAGCAGTTTCTAAGCAAGTAGGATACATGCCGCCGTAACGACACACGCACGCACGCACGCACGCACGCACTTGCAGACATGGGCCGTATCATGAACCAGCAGGTGTAACTCCCCGGCGATGAACACGTGTGTACGTCCACACCTAAACATCCGTCGGTTTAGTACGCACCCGATGCCGCAAGAATCACCTAAAGATTGGCACGTCATGCACGCATGCCGGCTGCAACCGCCAACTGAAAATTACCTTTCACTCGGCTAGAAATGGCAAGCACACAGCCACACACCCACGGAATCGCAGTATTGTACAGCTCAAAATGTCATTCGCATTAGGAGCAATTCGAGCAAATGGCAACAGGAGTTTTTAATGCCGAGCCATCAGTCCCTTTATTGAAACGGAGTTGTGTGATGCATGATTAACGTCTTCGTTTGATGGGGAAGGTGCGCAGCGTCGAAATGAATTCAGAATGTATGCCGGTGGATGATGAACTTTGGAAAACGTTCTCTCTCTCTCTCTCTCTCTCTCTCTCTCTCTCTCTCTCTCTCTCTCTCTCTCTCTCTCTCTCTCTCTCTCTCTCTCTTTCTCTCACTCTCTTAATTTCTATCTCTTTTCTCTCTCGTTCGCTCCCTATCTCTGACAAGAAAATTAATTTTTTTTTCAACTGGCCAATATGTACGAGCTTGGTAAAAAAGGCTAAGTGTGCGCCCCTTTGTTGAGGAAGGTATGAAATAATTTAATGATTTTGTTTTATCCTGCCCTGATCCACCCTTTCACATGCCAAACCGCATGCGTACAGAGACACAGCCAACAACAATTCTAGAATGCTAACTTAACCATCACTCAAGGTTATTTGTATTTGTAGAGAAGCATTGTGAACAAAATGACAGTGGAGGAAATGTCAAAGTGGGCTCATGCTTTTCATAGAGCAGTAATGAACATCGGTTGTCATGCCAGGGAAATAGCGATCCTTTGTGTATCACTTCCAACAAAACGTTTAACTTTTGATCTACTTCAAAACAAATCCAATTTTAATCAAATCTATTGCTTTAAACATACATAGGCGATACCCACTTCTTGTTGTTTTCAAATGGATTCTGATAGTTCATGCAGAACAAAATGCTTACAAGAGAGAAAGGTTTCAACTAATTTTAAATTGACTACGTCACGAATTTTCTATGGTGTATATTTGTAAAAAAAATTGTTTCCATTTTTTTACATAAAAATGTAAGTACTAACGGACTAAATGCTATCGTCACAATTTCTTACCTGATACAGTGATAAATGACTTGATTATCGACTAGTTATAAAATCCAAAAACCTGGACGAATTTGATCTGATCTGCTATGATCACTGCATTAATTGCTTGCTATGGCACTATGTATAGTCCACGAGTGTTATCGTTGACATTCAAACAATTATAGTGAAAATAGGAAGTATAATGCGCAGGCAATTTCGAGCCATAAAACCGTAAACAGGAAATTGCTTAAACATTTTGATGAAAAAGGGAATTTTTTTTTAATTTTAACCTATTTTAACCGGGCGACGTAATCACTCTTAAGCTATAAATAACGCAAGGATCACTCACAGATTATGTATTATAGCTAAAACAAAAATAACAAAAGCAAACTATACAATTAACTGATTTCAAGTTGACAATATTTATCTTCCAGCATTGGTGTTACAATATGAGCCCCTGTTTAGAAATACATCTGTTTTATGTGATACAAGATTAAAAAAATGAGAAAACAAAATATTTACTGAGACACAAACAACTATTGACATGATGACTGCACTTTGACAAAGACAATGTCATATTCGTTAATCATCAATATATATGAGTAGAACACACACCTAGCTTGTCATTCAAAAAAGTGACAATATGAATAAGTAAAATCTGTGATCAGTATCAAAACTTGTGTGTAGCATAAATAATACTCGCAGTAATAGATTAAGGTGATAGTGAAAACTGAAATATTGTCCATTCTCTTATATTTAATTATATATATAATATATATAAGATATATATAAGGGGGGGGTATATATATATAATACTATATATATATATATATATAATATATATAGACGAGAGAAGAGAGAGGAGAAACGAGAGAGAGAGAGAGAGAGAAAAGTTCATATAAGGAAATGCAAAGTCAAATAATAGGTAAAAAAAACATTAACAAGAGTATTTTCGCACATAGACACGTTCTCACTTGAATTCTTTCAGTGCCGTTATAATGCCCTGAAGCGTACCTCCAATAATGCAACTCATTAAGAATTAAAGTGAAAACGTTAAGTGGAAAATTTATTCGTGGTGGTTAAATTCATTTTCAACAGATATTATATATATATATATATATATATATATATTAATATATATTTATACAACCCTATCATTATTTATATATCTATGATAGTAGAATATATTATATACAGTTTGCTGGGACTGCTACTAAAGCTAGGCACTCTTCAAATCATGACTTTTAAACTCACTATTACAATTGAATATGACTGAGGCAACTGGAACTTGGCCAAAGTGCCTTGCATTTGACAGATTTTTTACTATTTGTTGATTGCACTATCAGTGACAGTTACAATATTCCCAAATTCCACGTATATCGATCTATAGATAGATAATCGCGTATCTAATGCATCACAATATATTGATAGTTCAATGTCTTATTAACATTCCATATGCAAAGGCAACCACAGTAATAACTAAGATGGAACTCAGTGACTCTCGGTCTCAAGTTCCTAATTAACAAATCACTAATCTACTTCTATTTTTAATAATCAATTAGCCATTGTGGGTCGATAACAAGATGTAACATGCCTGCTCAGGTAACTGCCCTCTTTCACTAGGCAGTTATTTGAGATGTGTGGATTACAT